TATACACAAATTAACACAACATTAACAGAATGATAAAATTTTTGGAAAGGTAACGTGTTCACTGTTCAAACCTATCCAATATCTATTAATTTATTCTCAATGTGCCAACATTTCTAAAAAAAATCCAACCCAGTAAAAGTTATCCAAGTTGGTAGGCCTGTAATGGCTCAACAAACATTGTCACACTTGATCTTTGTGTGATGAGAGGAAAGCTTCTCACTCAGGAGTGTTTATTAAAGTGGATCCCTTAGTTAAAGTGGTGGTCTATAAACTGTTTTATTATGTTAAAATAGTGTTACAGTTATAGAAATAACACGTAATAAACAAATAGTGAACATACAACAAGTACTACAGAACTTTAAAATTGACCGTGCTAAACCATACGGATGAACGATGTAAAAAGTTCAACGATGGCAAGGCCGGGGCTACACTCATCTTATGTTTTTCCCAAGGGCGTTAAGGGCGTTACCCGTGGGTTTGAGAGATACATTACGGTATATGCGACAGGCCACACTAGAGTAAAAACGTCCGTAAGACAGTTCGTTTGAACCATGGTTAAAGTACCGGTAAGCTGTTGTAAATGTAAATAGCATTTCTTACTTATAGGATAGCTTTTCAGTTTGGGTCTCTAAGTTCAATCAATCATTATTTAGGATGGGGACGCCACTATGTGCGTATTTTAACTCAAATATGAGTGAAGGGTGCGAGCAATTAATACTATTGTAATCATTAAACAGAACAAATTTACTGCAAAATGTTGTAGGTTTTTGTATCGAACCTTTTATTTCGATTTGTAGCTCCTTAGCTACAAAGATTTTGGCTGAGAATTGTAACTGTGAGACGTTTAAGACGTAAGCACCACTAATCTGACGTCATTGCCAGACACTGGCGATATTGTACCTTCCACCACTTCTACCAACCTTTGTACACCGTTTGATAACAGTGTTTTTGTTGATACGAATATAACTAACAATGAGTGGGCAATTTCTGTAATATTATGATTTGTATTGTGTTTTATTGGACTTAAATGATATTACTACAACAGGCTATTAACCAAAATAAGTCTTTCCTAACTTTTATCAACATTATATTAAAAAATCACCCTTCTAAATTGATTTTTTACGTGAATGAAGCGAAACCTTTGATCGTTTGACGTTTGAACCTCTACGAACCTCAGAATGTGTTTCTCTACACAAACAACTTCAATAGACCAGATCGCTTAGGAAGTAGTTGAAAGCTTTAATTTGTGTGAGTAGATTGCAGTGGTTGCTGATTTCAATGTTGCTTTCTAGCTCTTAAAAATGTTTTCCCAACAGCTTACAAAAACTATGCACAATCAATCGGGAAGAATAACGTAGTACTGTATAATGACTAATTGTTTGTAAAAGGACGATCATAAAATAACATAAGTTTTTTTTTATCGTACTGCTACCTATATTGAATCAGTGAATTTTCTTTAAACCGTTTTAGGTAATAGTATGATGAAAAGGAAAGTGATTATAACAAAAACTATATTATCATTGCAACAACAGGTACCTAGATCAGATATGACCAAAAACGCTTTCCTGTACTACCAGCAAACATGGCTACGCAACCGGAACATATTATTCATATTTGAAGAACAGTTTTAGTAAGGGAGGAGGGTGAGCATTATCATAAACTGCAGTTTTGTTTTAGCACCTCTTCTCTCGGTCCAATTTAGCAAGCGAGTCCCACCTACCTTTGGAAAACCTATTTTCTTCTTAATTCGTAAGGTTTATGGGTATTCTTGGAGAAAACCTTACACTTAAACATTTTCACCTATGCATTATAAATGCACACCGATTTAACCAAAGGTTTTATTTTTGTTCTTTATATGCCTAAAATAAATGATTTACTAAATTCTGACAGGGTGGTTGAAAAGTAACGTGCACCCCGTTTGAATCTTATGAGATATTTTAAATCAGTTTGTGGCAACCTTCTTAGAAATGAGGGCCTAAAATAATGATTGTTGAGTTTGAAAAATTTTCCCTTAGGGGTAGCTAAAAATTTGGTAATCACGGTACAGGTCTTGAAAAAACTGAACAATTGACACAAAGTAAATAAAAAATTGACCACTAATAACAAAATGGCGCCCTATAACGTATCAAATCCAAATAACCATAAGGATGGCTGAAAATTAACTTGTACCCCCTTAACTTTTAACTATTTGAGATATTTGACATCGTTTGCGGCATCTTTTTTGAGATATTAAGGACTACAATAATGATGACCAATTTAGAAAATTTTTCATTAGAAGTAGTGCGGGTGGGGGTAGCTCAACATTTTCAAATAAGAGGTATTGGTCGAGTTTGATATAATTTTACAGGTCTTGACAAAACTAAACAATTAACATACAGAAAATAGAAATCGGACAACTAATAACAAAATGACAGTTAAAAACTACTTTTAATACAAAAATTGCCTTAATTTTTTGCTGTAATTTTGTTATTAGTGGTAGGATTTTAATTTTCTTTATGTTAATTGTTTAGTTTTGTCATTTAGCGTACATATAAATGGGACGACTACATCAGTATCCAATTAATAGTCAATTATACTATGCAACAATGCATATCAGCTGATCGGCAAAGTGAAGAAAACAAGGATACCAACATAATATTATTTTTGTCGTTAAACAATGTCTCACAGCACTTGTAATTTTTGGGTTACGTAAACAAATACCCTGTATTAAGAGAATATCTGCTTCTGAAGTAAGAAAAGGTGACCCTTGAATTTTAAAGTGACCGACCTACTTTTGGTGCCCCTAAAAATGAAAACCATTTCTAGCAGAATGTAATTTAATTTTATCTCCTTGAGAAGCGATTTTCCAAAGTCAAATTGAAGGCAAAAGCTCACTCTAATCTCTCGAAGACTGGGACTTAGCTTTATCTCTGTAAATATTTAGATTGGATCCAGTGAAAATTGTTGTCAATATCTTTTACAATGTTTGTGACGGAGTCCTTGTGAAAAGAAATGGTGGAATGCAGTTGTTTACTTAACGTACGAGTCTTATCTTCTTCGTTTTACCAAACTAAGCTAGATGCCAACTTATGGACTTTTTCCAAGTTAATAAAATAATAAATAATTATAAGTTTTAACATAAAGGTTGGTTTTACTTACTAACAAAACATAGAATTCGTATTTTGATATCATATTGCATTGTAGATTTGGTTTTACAGCTTTTGAAAAACTAGTAAAGAGGAATATTTTTGAAAACAACAAAAATATCCCCAGTTTGTCCCTTCATTGTTTACTATCACTGCAATACCAAAGATTTATCTAACACAATTCAATTCAAGTGTTTGTCTCCAGGCGTATTATAGTCCATAAATATCCACACCACGGGAATCGGAAATATATACTTTTGTTGTTGCCAACTTTTCCCCATATATAATAACTCGGCACGGTTTTTCTACATTGCCGAAACGTTGAGTTCTTTTGTAGTCATAGACTGTGCTAACATAAGCATTGGATTCAAACTATTAAACGACGGGATGTAAATATCCTAATTGATATAAAAATAAATTTGTCAACCTATTATGTTTTAAAAACGTACTGTCCGGAAAACTTTATAATTTTAAATAAAATCATCGTGATATATAATTGGCGTAGTTTCCCTTGCGATAGAACTTGCTCAAATATTTTACTCAAATATTCAAGTTATATTATAATTTTTTTGTATACATTGATTGTTGTTAGTATTGCTATTTTTTTAATGATGGATTTAATAGTTCATCCCTCAAGGAGTATTAATGTGGTTGGTTGTATTTGAACTTTTTTAAATTAGGTTTCAGGCTTAAGTAATTTAAAACTATATGGATGTGTAAAAAACACTAAACTACTAAGAACCTTAACTAATATATTTGAGTGAGAACTTTAGAGTTTGATTGAGAGCATAATTAAACTGAGGTTAACAAATTACAAAATTAATATTTTTATTATCATTGTTTGATATATTTTGATTTGACAGTGTGTACATTTTTAACAATAAATACAAAATAAGGCTGAAACCCGTTAATTTTATTTTTATTTTGGAGTATCCAAAATCCTTCTCAGAGGAAAAATCACCAGACTTTACTTATGAGCTACAGGTTTATTGTAAAGATTAAGTGAATGCCAATGTTTAACAATCAATTTAACGTGTTGTAAGGTAATACCTATGACATACAGACAAAAGGTACTATACATAAGGATACTTTATGTTGATGTTAGTTGGTTATTGAAAAATTGGTCGTTCGGTGTGTTGAATCGGGTGTATAAATGAAAAAGATATCAACATTCACTTAGCCAGAGTATTTGGAGTAACTAAGATTCTAAAGTAAATAGATGATATTTAATTTTGAGGGGAGCACTGCATGTATAATCCATCCCCAATTTGTTGACATAATGTATGAAAATCAGCGTGTCAAAAATACTGACAGTGATGCAACGACTCATTGTACCAAACACTAATTGCACCACTCAACTAAATTGGTCTTAACAGCTGATTACTTGAAGTTCGAAACGTTACAATTTTACTTCTTTTCTCCCAATCCTTGAACTTCATTGGTCCGTTACTCGTATTGTTAAGTAAAAAAAACGCTGTTAAGTAAATATTTTCAATTATTCTAAGAACTGAACTGAAACGGCTGGTTTAAAAAATGGTCGTTAGTAAAAGTAGACGAGATGGGTATTCAAGTATATTGTAAATATCTGCAAGGACCTTAAACATTCCAACTTTCACACAAAGTTATGCTCAAAACCAAGTTTTCACAAGTGAAATGCAAGTTAAGTTTCAGAGGAGAAGTTTTACGCAAGACTTACACTTTCTCCCTTCATCTGCAGTTGCCAGGTTCTTGTAACTTTCCCTCACTTTAACTTATCCTTTATCACCTGGGAAC